GCCAGCCATTCAGCAGGTTAAAGATGTGGTAGTCTGCTTGGTAAAGATCTATAAACTTGGGAACTCTATGAGGCAGTTCTACTCCATCCTATAGGGTCACTAGGAGTCCGAATCGACTGGACAGCAACAAGTTTGGTTTTCTTGGTTTCCTTGTTAGGAAATATTTGGTGATGCAGTCACCATACTATTTTGTTCTAGACTTTTACACATTCTTCACATATCTTGTTAGTCTGGAGTGCTTAAAAACTAAAATGCATGTGGTTGGTCTTGCTACGAAATTTAGTATGTGAGATTTGAACTAAAGATATGTTTTAGGAAATAGCACATATTAATTGTGCTTTTGAAATGCTTCTCAGAAACATGACGCCCAGTTTACAGTCATCCAGCTAGTGGGGATGCTTCGAGGGATAGCGTCCGGCATGAAGTACCTGTCAGATATGGGCTATGTTCATCGAGACCTTGCTGCCCGGAATATCTTGATCAACAGTAATTTGGTGTGCAAGGTTTCTGATTTTGGGCTTTCACGTGTTTTAGAGGATGACCCAGAAGCTGCTTACACAACAAGAGTAAGTAACTCAGCCCTTTAAAAAATGTTGTCTTTATTTTCTGTTTTGTATCATGCTGACATGCAAATAAGTACAAATCATTAAATGCATGTTTCAGGATGCTTTGTCAACGATATTTTCTGCAAATGGAAACTTATCTCTTAAAATTAAAATATTATTGTATATTCTGACAGATAAATGGCAACAGTTTTCTAAGGTGAGTGGAGATTTGAATTCTAAAATTTCATACTTGGATTTAGTGCTTCCTTAAAAAATCAGTCTCACATTCCTGAAGTTTTGGTATTTGTTTATCTATTCATCTTTTCTTCATGGTTGACCCACCTTTAATAAGCAGATTGGATACATTCTCAGTAGCCCATCCAACTAGTTATAATTTTAAAGCATTATGTTTATATAATTAATGCACATTCATTTTATAGAAATTTTTTTTTAAAAAAATCAATAGAAAAGTCACCCATAATTGTGCCACCCACAAAGAACATTTGTAGCTTTGTGAGTCAATTTTCCCGGTTTTTGTTTCTACCTATCAATATATACAAACATATGTATGAATACATGATTAAAATGGCATTAATCATAATACTATTGTGTAACCTCCTTTTCTCCTTAGCAATATATGTCTTGAATATATTTCACTGTCAATAAATAATCTTTTAAGTTATTATTTTTAGCAGATTGATGTATTTTATTTTCTGGTTATACCATTTTTTTTTAAACCAACCCCTAATTAGTGAGCGTATTATTGTAATGCTTAGTTTTTCAATATTTTATACAAATGTTTAAATGAACCATCTGCATTCATAATTACAGGAGTCTTATGATTTTCTTATGATGTATTCTTAAAAGTGGAATTTCTGTGTCAAAGGGTCTGAGTGCCTATTTTAAAAACATGCTTCACTATACTCCTGATAAAACTAGATATTGTTGTTATTATCAATCTTATCCATTAAGAGAACATCTTTATTATCAGTTGGGAGAAATTGTATATAATTATTTTAATTTGCATCCATTTGATTCACAATTGATTTGAATATTTATATATTTATTGTCAGATTTCTTTGAAATTCCTTTCAGAGAAAGATTTTTCCCATGGCAAAAATGCTAAATTAAAATTTAAAGTTTAAATTAAATTAAAATTTAACATTTTAATTTTATTCTTTCAAAATATTTTCTGTGCTTTTTCATAAATAATTCCCACGTGTGCATATAGTTATAAAAATGGGTTCATACTATCTGTACTGATATATAAAATGATTTCCACTTATCACTTAATCCAGTATTTTCTTCACATATAAATTCAATGTTGTTTTCTGATCTGATTTTTTTAACTTAAAAATATATAATACAGAATTTTCCAGGTTATTAAATATTCTTCTGTAGCATCATTTAATAATATATACTATTCCCTTGTATTCATGTACATGATATTTAGTCAATGTATTATCAATTAGGCAGAATTTCAATGTTTGATATTATTAACAATGCTTTGATACATAGTCAGCTATATAGTTTACCTAGCCAATCGCCTCATGTACATGTGAAAGCTGGACAGTGAATAAGGAAGACCGAAGAAGAATTGATGTCTTTGAATTATGATATTGAGAAAGAATGTTGAATATACCATGGACTGCCAGAAGAGTGAACAAATCTGTCTTGGAAGAAGTACGGCCAGAATGCTCCTTAGAAGTAAGGATGGCAAGACTTCGTATCACATACTTTGGACATGTTATCAGGAGGGACCATTCCCTGGAGAAGGACATCATGCTTGGTAGAGTAGAGGGTCAGCAAAAAAGAGGAAGACCCTCAACAAGATGGATTGAGACAGTGACTGCAACAATGGGCTCAAACATAGCAATGATTGTGAGGATGGCACAGGACTGGACAGTGTTTCGTTCTGTTATTCGTAGGGTCACTATGAGTTGGAATCGACTTGATGGCACCTAACAACACAGCAATATGATTACATACCCAGGATAGATCGTAAAACAAAAATTTCTGGATCAAAATATTTGCAAATAAGATATTTTTATATATGAATTGTCCAACTGTCATATGTTTTGTTAATTTTTATTCCTGGAGGTAGTACATGAGAGAGCCTGTTCCTCCGTATAGTTACCAGCCAAGAGAATAGGAAGTTTCAAAAAACACTAGACTTCTGGTTTCTTCGGTCTAATTCTAAAAGTTTTTTTCCCAATTTAAAGAAAAAAAAAAAAAAAGACTCATTCGTTTCTGAAATCCCCAATCTTGACATCTCCATTAAGGACCAACATTGTCACATAGCATCTATATCACACACTGAGAAAGAACTCAATATGCTGGACTGAATTTCATCTACAAATGAAGCCACAGTGATAACACTGCAGAAATACAATAGTATAATGTCACTGGAACTTAGCCATGTGCATTGATGTAGAAGTTGGAACTTTATTCATGACTTTATACATTATATCCTTAGTTTTCTATTTTCAGTTACACTCTGTAGTGAATTTGCTTTATGCATGAATCTATGTATTTGTTTTAAATGTCTCCTGCATAATAATGTCATTGTTGCTCTGAGTAGAGTTCATTAGGGTAAGAGCAAGAGAAATAAGTAATTTTTTTTAATATCTAGCAGCTAGTTGAATTTAGTTTATAGCAGTAACTACACAGCTCTAAAAACTTGATGAAACCGCAAAACATGGGTAAATATCTCAAGAGTGATTTTTAGCAAATCCTTCTCTAAGCTTCAGAAAAATCACTCAGCCAGCATTCTCCACCAAAACATCATTTCTATGACTGAACTATCATCCCAAGAGACAACATTATAACAAAAGATAATATGTTTATTGTCCTGAGGAGTGTTTTTTATCTCTACTCGTTGCAATCTGCCTTCTAAAGATATCCTTCATAACCTTCTACTACTATATGAGCTTCTAACATAGTCCATGAAAATTGTCATGCTTGCTTGTGTTGTCCTTGTTGTTGTAACGGCAACAGTCACCTTAACCAAGAAAAATTTCTAGTTTTTAAAAACAGTATTTGATAGGAGACTTTTATTTGAAATGTTCAATTTCTGATTATGCAGTCAGGTTCTAATCTCTATGCCATAACCGGTGATTAAATGAGAGTATCCTTGTTCCCAACACTAGTTCTGATTTCTAGGATATGCAAGGAAAGATTTCTCTGGTAGGGTCATTTAAAGATTCATCAACTCTAGATCCCCTGCTCTCTGGAGAATATATATTGGGTTAACTATCAGAGCTTTATTTACACTAACTCTTACTTTGTCAGGGCCAAGAGATCCTGAATGCCAATTTTTTGAACTTAGCAGAAGAGAGGTGTTGCTGTGTCACAATTCCTCTTTAGAATTTGTGAAATAAAAGTGCAACAGGCTTTTTGTATTTGTGTTCCAGTCTCAGAAAATTCTTAAAGCCCACTCCAACCAAATGGGCCTAGTTGAAGTTCATTCCCTTCCAATAAATAGTTTCGAGTTCTTCAGTGCTTGTTCTAGAATTTTCTTGGAACTCCATCAAAATGTTCATGGGGCTCCTGGCTTTCCTCTGAGAAACTGTAGTTTACATCTGTCTTACTAGAGTAATTTCAACATCTTTGAGTTAATTTTCCATAATAAGCCTTGTTTAGTACAATAATTTTATAATTTACCCTAATGTATGAGGTATGGTTATAGAATAATAGGACTTTTTTTTTTTTTTTAAACAAACACGCCTTCACAGCTAAATGAGTGTTACCATTCTAGGTTGTGTCTTTAGGAGTGTGCGCTTACTGCAGAAACACTGCTCTTGTAGGTAGTATTTTGGTAATTCGTACTTTGTGATTATCTTAAAAGAGACATTATAAATGACATCATCATTCAAAATTGTTTAAGCACATAATATTTCAAGGAAATAGTCTTGATTGATATAAAATCTCTGGTCTCAAGAAATTTACATTTAAATAAAAGAGACAAACATGACAAAATATCAATTTTATAATAATAAAACAATTAGTGTATTATTGTATAATAAAATCTGAGTTTTTTAAAACCAAAGTAGTGTTATTCAGCTTAGACACATACCTTATTTATTTGATTTACATGCTATGACTATGGTCTCTTCAGTAAAACAAGATCATCATTTAAAATAGTGTGCCCAGGTATTCTTTGTGGTTAAACAAATTCTGGTAAATCTGCTTTTAAAAGTCAGTCGCATTACTTTAGTCACACTTAACATATTTCACTCAGTGTCTGGAATGCCTATGATTCAAAAATTAGCTTTCAACCCCCAAAGCTTTCAACCCTTCCTTATTGCCCCTCTGAATGCTGTTGCCTGTAGGTAGAGTGTAATTGTGCTAGGGAATCTTGAGAGCATTTGATTCAATGCTACAGAAAGAACGCAGGTTGTCTGCTGCTTTCATTTTTAAAGCAGCTCAGTGAGAGACAGGCAGGAGAGAAAAGTGGAATAGAAATTGTATCAGTTAATTCTGCATTTACAAAAATTTTAAACTAGAGGGAGTATCGGAGAAATTGAGAACCTATTTAGCCTCAAAACTTAAAACAATTTATCAGACTTTTCCCATACTTCTTTTGATGCTAACAACTGTATCATAAGCTTTCCTTCATTATGTCATCAACAATATACATAAGAGGAAAGAATCAGCTAACAAAACATTACGCATTTGTGTGTATGTTCTGTCTTCCACCTGAGTATTGGGTAGGAAGTCAGAATTTTTATTTATTTATTTATTTATTTATTTTTTATTGTACTTCAGGTGAAGGTTTACAGAACAAATAGTTTCTCATGGAACAGTAGTACACATATTGTTTTATGACATTGGTTAACAACCCCATGACATGTCAACCCTCTCCCTTCTCAACCTTTTTTTTTTTTTTTTTTGGTGAAAATATACATAGCCAAAGATAGATACACCATTTCAAAAATTTCTACATGCACAGTTCAGTGACATTGACTACACTCTTCCAACTGTGCTGCTATTCTCACTTTAGATGAAGGTTTACAGAACAA